GATTATATAAATAATTTTAAGTTTTATTGGAGAATTTCTTTCGAATTGGAAAAATCGTTTAAATCTTTCAAAGTGAAATAAAAATAATACTATAGACTTTTTATTGAATGTTTACAATGAGTTTTATAAAAATGTTTGCTTTTTGTTCTTTTCTAAATAGAATATTTGGACTAGCGATAGCCATTTCTTCCTGCCTAAACTGCTTTATGCCAGGCGCCGCAAAAGTTCATTGCGGCTTAACAATCTTCCTGCGAGTCTGTCAAGGATTAGTTGAAGGTGTCACCTATCCAGCATGCCATGGAATATGGCGTCACTGGGCACCTCCTCTCGAGCGTTCTCGACTGGCGACCATTTCTTTTTGCGGTAGATATAATATATATATATATATATATAATTTTTTTTTTCATTTTACTTCCTCTTTTTTTTGTTGACACTGATTCGATTTTGAGGCTTTCGCATTCTCGCGATTCGGATTTACGGCCGTTATTCCATTACGATTTAGCTAAAGTGAATTCGACTTGACAGGCTGTTAGTAATGGAACGGGACTGTTATAGAGTAGCTGGGAAGCTGTTTCAGGATTGCGCATAACCTTTCCGTAAACAGGAAATGTCTCTAATTCTCTATCCTATCTTTACTTTCTTTTTAATTTTTAACAATCTTAATAATATTTCTTTTCCTGAAAGTAGCTTAATTATATAGTCACGATAATATTAAGCATCCACGGGGCAATACAACATAGGAGTAACAAAATTTAATCATAATTAAATGTAATTACTGGTTACAGTTACATTACATTAACGTTATTGTGCACGCTTCTAAAAAAGAAGAAAAACTGATTGTTCTCCTTGACTAAATTATCCTAATATAATTCCCCCTTTTGTGGATAAGCTAGGTTTTCAATTACATATACGTTCTCTCTTCTTCCTCCATAAGCTGCACACTTTATTAATGAAATTGTAAAAAGAAAAAGAAGAAAAAGAGACCTAGAAATTGCTGAATTCGCCTTTTCTCTATCTCTACTTATTCTATTGCATGGAGTTTTTATGAAATGCTATAAGAAACTTAGGAAATTGGTAAAGAATCAATTTAAAAAACTTGACAAATAGCAATTTAGATAAATAGTATTCATTAGCTGTTTTAGTTTCAACATTGAATCCTCTTCCCATCAACGGATTATATGACTTAATACTCTACCTGTTTTTGAGGAATAGTTTTTTTGAGATACCATATTGCTTATTCATAAGATATAAATCCATATTTAATATTTCCCATCAGGAAAACAAGTCACTGTGTCATGGCCAATTAGAAAATATATCTCGAGAAAAGATGATAAAATGAGATTACTCCTTCATTAGTAAATTTTTAGGCTTCTCAATAAGCTGACACCTTATAACATCAATCAGTTTCACTATGCAAACGTACACATATATGTAGAATATAATCTTCTCATTTATTTATTTATTTTGCCCTTACAGTCTTTTATTTTTTCATCAGAAGGATTCAATAAAACAATTTATAGTTCTATTTACACAAAGAAACTTCCGCTTCATTAACCGAATCACTTGAAATTGATAATTAATTATTGATATTAAATATTGATTGAAAGTTAAAGATTCAAAATCTTTGTATAAAAAATTTCTTATACAGTATCGCCGAAGACAGAAGACTTGTCTTTTATATTTCTCTTTACCATCTTTATTAAGATATTCAGAGGTCCGATATGGATATAGATGTTTTCTGTATATACAGTATATATTAAATACAATACGCTGATCAATATTCATAAAACTGATCTACCAAAAAGAAACAACAAGAGAGAAACAACTTAAGAGAACAAAATCCTAGTACAATTAATTACCAAGTTAAGTGATTCTTACATAATTCCTTCAGGAGAAAATGAGATAAAAGGAGAGAACTTTGATAAGCTAGTCACCTAATAAACTATCACCAGTTAGAATTGAAACTTGAAATACGTAAATATTTATAATTTTTGAAATCTCGTCGTTAGATAGATATGATTGTAATTAGAGATTTTACTAGAAAGAAAATAATACCACTTGACATTTTTTAAAATGAATTGAAAAGGTTACAATTACGTAATATTGACAAAACATGCTGTATTATGGAATTGTTTTAGGTTAAACAAATAAGTTTTGTTCCGTATTTTGAACTGTAGCAAAATGTATAATGTAAATAGAATTTTGTTCCGATAAAGAGAAAGTAAATTAATGAATAAAAAGGTATGGGGAATGGGGATGTTTTTCGGGAAAGAACGATGGAACGCTGTAGAAATTCTTGTGAAATATTCATAGACCAAAGCATTGTAGTAGATTTGCCCACTTTACGGTAGGATAAATAATGAATTATCGCCATGGTGATCACCTAAACCATGGCTCATGCTAGAACTATTACTCACCGGTGATACTTCACCTGAATTAATTTTGACAATTTTTTGAAAAGGAAGATGAAAAAATTAGAAAAAAAACATTTGGTTGAAGCTAATTGAATACTGAATAATTAAATAATTGCGTGCATCGGTTTCTTAATACAGGCCTGTAGAAACACTCTAGGGTTACCCAGGCTACGTTTAATCGGCCTATATTGGACGCTCACCCATTTTTTCCGTCTCTTTCAATTATTTACGCGTAACGCTCTGATGTGCAGTGACGAAATCGAATTATTTCAGAGTAGAGCTGTTTGTAAATATATATACTTTACGTATATAATTTTTTTCTTATAAAACATATAATGCATAAAGTGCGTACAACTTAAAGAAAGGTTGAAAAGTAAGAATATCAAAAGACTTTTAAACATATTAAAGTATAAACATACATCAATAGATACTTTTTCTGATCACTAGTTTTCTACATCTTTATTTCCAGTAATGAATTAATAGAAAGTAAATACGATGAAAGCGACCTAATCAATTTTTGCTTTAAATCGCAGACAAACTCCTTATATTTTTATATAGTTTTTATGTATTCTGACAAACGCCTATATGATATATTGATAAAAAAGAAATCGTTTGAAAAAAAGAAATTGTTTATAAAATGATTTTTAAATCATTTATTTATTGAGGAGTAAAATGGAAAAATCAGATAGAGGTCTAATCATTGTTACATTTTCACCATTTCAACACAAACATCAATTAAATTAATCGATATAATATCGGCTTTATTTCCTGATTGAACAGGTTCGTACGCCGGGGTGGTAATCGGTCTACCATTAAGCGGTATCTTAACTGATAATCTAGGATGGGAATCCTGCTTCTATTTTTACGGTGAGTACCTTTTCATTTAAATTTAATATACCTTGTTTCTACGTTTGTTTTTGAGGCGAGGTTGGAAAATAAAAGAGATGAAGCAAGACATAATATATTTGTATATAAATATATATATATTTATATATTTATATATATAGACAGAGAGATAGAATAGATAAAGAGGGAAAGAGAGAGAAAAGCAATGGTATACTTAAAAAGATTGACTAAGTAATTCATATATATCTCTCTCTTTTATTCATGCAGAATGAAAGTATTTTCTTATATTCATACGTTTCTAAAAGCCCTTTATTATAAATATATATATATATATAACGCATATATCTTTTTTATTGTTCATTTGATGCTATATATTTTTGTTTTTTAGTACTTTGAGTTAAATTGAATAGAAAATGACATTGAAAGTATACAATTTTGCTCTTACTAAAAGTCACTTCTACAATATAATAATTAATATCTTAACCATTATTCTATTAATTCTTAAAATATAATAAAATGCAAAATTTTTTACAATCAATTTCACTGCTAATCCATTACCCATTACATCATCCCATGAGTAATATCGTCTTTATCATCCATTTTACTTTTAAAAGAACTAAGCCTAGAAGATGAGCTTTATATTCTAAAAACTTCATTTTATAAAAACTTTTACATGTTTCCAAGTAAAGGTTTTGCTATAAATTACAAAAATTATTCTCATATGCATTTAATATTTGATAATTATAGAACTATTAGCTATTTACTTTTACGATTTATATCATAGAGCAAACAACAATAATAATAAAACTTCATTTTCGAATAAAATCAATTGGGGAAAAAAATTGTAATTACACCTATAAAGGATTTTTCTCGTATAATGCAAAGTTGAACAATGAAATTTCTATATAGGACTAAAAAATTATCCTTTATAAATTATTGTAATGTATTTGTAATAGTTTCATATCCTTTCTAGAATTTAGATTTTACTGTTTGTTTATATTATTAGTAGTAGAAATAAAAGACAAATTCATTGGTACAATAATAGAAAAATATAAAGGAACAAAAGGGAAAATGTACTGTGAAGGCAATAGAGAGATATTTATAAAAAAAAGAAAAAAGCTACATATTAGAAAGAAATCATAATCTTATAATTGAATCTTCATGTGTATTTAATATCATTAATGACATATATTTGTATTATTTTTGATGAAAATCGATCTTTACAGGAGCTTTAGGCCTGATATGGTTTAGTGTTTGGTGGATGCTTTCTTACGAGAAGCCAGCAATCCATCCGACAATTTCCGACAGAGAACGTGACTATATTGAATCATCAATTGGAGAAAATACAAGCCCATTACCAAACGAAGTAAAAACAGTTGTTTATACAAATAAAGAGAAAGTAGCGTTCAATAAATAATCGATTTTGTTTTTTAGATTATGAAAACGCCTTGGAGAGCGTTCTTTTCTTCCCTACCAGTGTATGCTATTATAATTGCTAATTTCTGCCGAAGTTGGAGCTTCTACCTACTGATAACTGAACAGCCGAAATATTTTAGTGAAGTTCTACGCTTTAATATTTCTCAGGTTAGTATTATTTTCAAAAGAAACGTTTAAAGTTAGTTGATTCTTGAAACGTTTCCTGCACGATATTGCCTTCGGTGATGGATATTAATCTTTGATTTTTTTTTGTTCATTTGATATTAAATAGGGTGGCATTGTGTCTTCTTTGCCTCACTTGGTTATGACCCTGATTGTGCCATTTGGAGGATACTCAGCTGATTATTTAAGAAAACGAGGCTATCTTAGTACAACAAGCGTCCGTAAAATCTATAACTGCGGAGGTAATTCCTATAAAAAAAAGCTATTTTCAAAGGTTTCATCCCTTTAAATTCATCTTTGAACCTAATAGGATTCGGCTTAGAAGCATGCTTCCTACTCGGAGTGGGTTATACTAGGGATAAGACAACTGCCATTATTTGCCTAACCATTGCAGTTGGATTTAGCGGCTTCGCTATATCCGGTTACAATGTGAATCATTTAGATGTAGCACCGAGATACGCATCCATATTGATGGGTTTATCAAATGGAGTAGGAACGCTGTCTGGTATGATTTGTCCCATAGTGACCAACGCTATTACCAAATCAAAAGTAAGTTGAACTTGTATTAAAATTTCTTGCTTTCATTACTAAATATTCTAGTATTAAGCCTGAGAAAATTGTAATGATATTAATTCGTGACTTGGGAAAGTAATTTTCTCAAATGATTAACATATCCATATACACAATAGCATGATAATCGTTTATTACTTGAAAATATTGTAAAAAAAAAAGAAGAAAAAAAAAAAACTACAAAATATTACTAGATATATTTTATTTTATATTTACATCATCTTTCCCTCCCCCTCCTTGTTGGGAATATGACGCTTTGAAGTGAAAGTTGTTTGGAGGTGTTTTCCCGGGATGAAGTAGATTTAATTAATTAATTTTTAAGTATAAATGAACTTAGAATCTTACTTCTTTTTTAGTTTATTAGTTTTTTTTAGTTAGATTAAGCTTTCATTTGTATTAAATTTTAAGATTATTAACACTTGATGAATGTAAATTTGGCTAAATTATTAATATTTTTACCCTCTATCACTGAGGAACATTTGAAAGCATGCACAAATTTCAATCTTTATTAACGATATGAAAAAATAACGTACAAATATACAGTATAATAGAGATACACTGATAATTTAAAAATGTCTATTCTATTGCCATCTAGCGATAAATCTAAAAAAATAGTTGAATATACAGTATATAACACACCTGAACGATTTCAGAGAATGGCTACAATAAAATCCAATTGAGAATGACTTTTTAAAGCTAGAATAAGCTAGAATAAAATATTCTATTTTTAATAAAATAGATGAAAAATTCATAGTACATAGGTAACTGTTCATTCTGTAAGGTTAAGGAAGATAATGATTATTTGATTTTTCTTTTCTCTTGATCTCTTTTATGAAATTTTCTGTAACAAAAGAAAGTAATGTAGTGAGAGAGCAAACATATTGTTATGTAGATATTAGAATAATGAAGACTGGTGAAATATTACACAATATTTAGTAAATATTTAACGAGGGGGAAAAATCGCATTTTCCTACAATAAACAACGAATAAGATAGGAGCTTGAAAGCTTTTTGATATTACAAACAAACGTCAAGGGCACAGACTGAAAAGAGAAAAGAAAACTTCAAAGCGTCTTAGCGTCGTTCGTGCAGGCGCCCTTTTACCAATCAGATTAGCATAGAAAAGGGCCGTCTAATGTAATATTTAAAAAATCATTATAGACCGTCAAAGGATGGGAACACGTCTTTCTAACGGCTGCCCTTATCCATTTCGCTGGCATAACTTTCTACGGAATATTCGCATCGGGAGACAAACAGCACTGGGCCGATCCACCACCGGACATAATAGAAACAATGACACCAGTAAAGTCAGGATCGTACGGAGCATTTCCTAATGAAGACCTTCCGGATAAACCCCCTTTGCCACCTCCAAGTTATAGGACAACTTTACAGGGTTCTCAACCGCAATTCACTACACAAACAGAAATGGTGCAGATAGAGCCAACTGATACCTATATGAATGGTTCAATTCAAGATCGAGAACCTTAGAGAACTTATTAAAATATCCTATTAAAAAAAAGAAAACAAAAGTAAAAAAAAAACAAAAAAAATCCAAAAAAATCAAAACAAAAAATTAATAAGATATTATAAAAAGCTTAACGATCTAAAAGGAAACAAATTGATATTAATAATAATAACCAAGAGTAAAACTTAAACAAATCCTAAATTCTAAAATTTCAATTTTTTCTCCAACTAATTTTACTTCTTTTTTTCTATATCTAAAAAGAGAGAAAAAAGGAGAAATAAGTAAAATATTATGTAAAATATTATTCATTATTGGATGGGGAAGGGGGCATTATTAGTTTATTTTTAATTCTTACAGTCTTTAGCGAGATATATATATATATATATAATCAAATTAAATTAGGACCTATTATTTATAGACCCTTACCTAAATAGACTAAAATATCCTATTGGAAAGTAATTAGAAGCTTAGTTTATAGAAGTTATGTACATTTCATTTTATATGCAATTAATTAAATTATATTCAATTAATTAACTTATTTATTAATTACCGTCTGGTATTTTCAAAAGACAATCATAATGGCTTGATATACTCTTATCAAAGAAGTTGAAAAAAAGCTTAAATACCTAATGTTCTGGAAAAGACTCTCCAATACTCTTTTCTTTCTAAGATCAAAAAAGAATAAAATTAGAAAAATGGCGCCTTCTACTGCTCTAAAATCTTTCTCTTTGGTACTTTTCAGTTTCTGGTATATGAATACATATACTGTATATGTATATATACTAATATATATATAAATACTCGTATCAAAAAAATTCCCCCATTTAATAAACATACAAGAGAACTTAAAAATAAAAGTAGTTAAGATTAGTCAAGTCCTATTTTTTAATCCTATTCATACAAATCACGTGTAAATGATTCCTAACGTAGAAAAACATGAACAATATATACATTTATATATATATATAGAAATCAATGGGGTAAACAAAAAAAATGGCAAAATCTACATTATACTATTTTCTCTCTTTCTTTCAATTTTTAGTGTTAAAAGATTAAAAAAGAATCTTGTTTCAAACATATGTTAAATATTCCTGAAATGATAAAAAGGTTTCATATATATATATATATATATACTGTATATATATATATATATATGCCCATTTCATTATAAATAAACCGGCCATAAATATGTCTGTGTATATTTTCCAAATTTTCTGATTTGTTAGCAATATTTTATGAACATTTACAGTAAATATTTATGTGTTGTTCCTTACCTGTACCTGTAGATGGCGCACTCGTCAGCTCGTCCGAAAAAAATAACTGTGTTCGTATTAACGTCTATTTTTTAATCGTCAAAAAAGTTTGTCTGCTCACTTATTGTGTAAAATTCTCTTTCATGCAGTAAAAAACTTATCTCTGCAAGTTGTCTGCATGTTGTATTTGTTTAATTAACCTTTACTATAAGTAGCGATTTTATGCAAAGCACACCATCATTTGACGTGTATTAAGCAGCAATGATAAAGGTCGCCAGGCCGATTTGTACATAGAAGGATTATTTTTATATTAATTTTTCCAGATGTTTGTCAGTATTTACCAATATTAATAATATATACAGTACAATTTTGTAAAAGTGCAGGTATATTCGTTAATCATAAATCTATACCCAATGGCGCATTTTTACATTGTATATATTATGTTCAAGCTCTCTTTCGAAGCTTTCGATTAGAGAGCTAAATATATAGTTTCTTCGTCTTTACCCCTCCCCCCTCTTCATTTTCTCCCTTTTACGGTCCCTTTTTCGTTTCTTTTGAACATTTAGAACTTTCTTAAAGTTATCGGAGATTCTTGGAAATAGCATATTATAATTGTGTATAAAATATACTATATACATCTATATCTGTGTATATAAGAAAAAGTCTTAGTATTGTGTAGAAATGTTTCTCTTTTGATTGTTTTGTGCGTGTGTCATATCTAGGAAATTATTATGTAACCAAATACAAGTGCGCACTTAGCAGATGATGCTCAAAAAAATTATATATTCCTCAAATTCTAAACAGTAAAGCATTCAGATCAGAATCATTTATAAACGATAAACCTACTTCATATTATCTTTGATAAACTATTAAAAAGAACATTTAGCATTTTCTTTCACTCAGTTTTCCATTTCTCTTCTAATATATGGAAAAGAAATAGTAAAAGATCCAATTTAGTGAGTTTTAGCGATATCAAAGGATTCTTTTTCTCATTTTGCAAGAGATTTAAGGTTTGATAGGAATTGGAGGGTGAAAAATGGATGAAAAAGACGGAAAAGAAGATTATCTTTAAAAATTATGTATTACTTTTGTTTTTAAACAATGATACATATATATAAAGGTATATACACAATTTATCAATAAGAAAAGCACCAACATAGTACAAAACAAAGGAATTTCTGGAAAATATGATATATATTAGTATATATATGTATACTATTAGCATATCAATATAGAGTTAAATGCTTAATTTAATTAACTCATAAAAATATTTGTCTTTTATAAACTTAACAATTTGATTCATTTTCAATTAACTCCAGTTTTATTTTTAGTTTAACTCAATTTTTAAAACATTTCGGCTAAAGTTTGATCATTTGAAGATTCTGGGAATATTTTATACCAGTTTGCAGAATATATTGATAAATCAAGATTATCTAATCTTATTAAAACTTCTCCAATACACTTTCGAGCTGCTCTATTCTTTATAAGAACTTCTAAGCATCGCCCATTTACGTTACAAGCTGAATACTTTATTTTTTGACGAAAACTTGGTGAATAGGTACCTTTGACTGATTTTGTTTTCTTTTTTTGAGTTTTCTTCTTACCATCAATTAACTGTGTTCTAACATAAATCTCTGGTGGGTTTCCAGATGGATCTATACGCAAGTCTCGTATGCATACAACGTCAACTTCCAATTGTCCTTTTGTTACTGTAAATCCTAAATTAATATCACCCTTAAATTGGCGACACTTGTTTCGTTTTGGGAATATTTGACCGGGACCGAAAACAACCGACATGTCATCCTTTCCATCTTTCTTCCAATTTTCTTCAATGTCTTCTAAGTCGCTGGCCGAAGTCCTTGAATTTGATCTTGAACTTGCGTCACTTCTTGAACTCTTTCCACCTATTGAGTCTTCTTTTCTCATACGTAACTTCTTAAGATTGTGAGCACTGTGACTTTTGCTTGCTAATCGACACTCGTTAGCAGCCGCTTCGGAGGAATCTTTTAAATAGATATGTTCATTAAATAGGTCATCTATAATCAAAAGTGCATATTTTACCTAGACTTTTCGATCTTTTATCTTGTAAGACAACTGTAACCTTTTGGAAAACATCAGACAAACGTCTTATTGTAGATTTACTCTTGGATTTTCCTAGAATATATAAGAGAGATTACGATAAATACCCAAGAGACGTAGGCGGAAATTGAAAGCGCCTTACCCGGAACTTGCAAAAACACCTCGTCAGTAGCACTACCGGCGTTGCGTTCTTCTTCGTTACCTAAACCCGAATAGTAAACATTCACTACAAACATATAAATCAAAACGTATACTTTCCATGTGCCAAAACGGGAGCTGATTTATAAACAACAGTTTTTTGTAAGGACAACAATTGACATTCCGGAAATTTGGAATTTCCTTCTATGGGTGTGTGGAATTTTGTAAAAACATAAATAAATGAAAAGGTAAAAATGTACTTTAGTCTATTGAACAAGCTTACAGAAGCTGCTAGTCATAGGGTTATATCTATATATATATATGGTACACAGTAGGATATATTTATATATCAAAAAAAATGATAAATTCGAATACTATGGTTCTGAGCTGTGTTTAGCTCATTAAAACTGACCTAATTAATACTATCAATCTTCAGTGTATAGCTATTATAGTATTTTATACTTTTAATTAACTAATTTTATCTTTAAATGGATGGATCAGAATAATGTTACAGAAAAAGGCTTTCTTTATTCCTGTTGAGTTGCGGTGCCATCTATCAGCTATGGAGAAAATATACGGAAACATACATTTGTCCAAAGCAAATACAGGAGGAGATTTTAGTCTTGCATGATATTTTTTCAGCTATTAATTCGTATATTAAATACCGTAAATATGAAATTTATGTTATACTGTAATTATTGTTATTAAAGGGAGAAATAAAATTAAAAGATAAAAATGAAAGCAATGCAATATCTAGTTGTTTGCAGTTAGAGAAGCCATTGAGTATAGCTGGTGATATATTTATTCCTTGGAAAAAGGGCGAAAATCAAAAGGTTAATATTTTCCTAGCAGTCGTAAAAATGTTCAGATAAATGATTGTGTAATTTTTTGATTGATTGGGACGAGATAAATCGTACAGAAATAATTGATTGCTCTTACTACGTACTCTAAGAACAGTTAAGGGTTTTTGGTGATGTTTATATTAAAGATACAAACGAAGAAACACTCACCCGTTTTCTTGTTTAGAATTTCTTTACATTTATCGTGAGCAGGTGTTGCTGGAAGAGCTGGTAAACTTGACCAATTTGGCCTTTCATAATCTGAAGATTTTCGTCTAGCTTTTGGTGTTGGACTTGGGAGTCCACAACTATTTTCGTCGTGATCTTCCAAATTATACCATGTTGCAGGACCGGTTGATGCTATATCGGAAAGATCCAATAGTATTTCACCCATAAAAGTATGGACATTGTCAGACGGATCATCCCAAACCGTTAATTCTAAAGTAGACTTTGGAAGCTGTTATTTTTATACAATATATTTAATTATTATTCCACAAGATATTAAGTAGATAATCAATAACCCTTTCTACGCGTAATTATCTTTTAAAGAGAATTGTCCGTCTAATAGTGTTCTAATAGTGACATCTGAGATTGGTAAGATACTCGAGAGTCTGATTTACAATCAGGCAACTCCTCATTATAGTCTTTTTAACACTATTTGACCTTAGCTCCGTGTTATAAAAATCAACAGTGAGATCATTATGTAATGTTAAATTAAGGATACAACATAAACCATATTATGCAAATAGGCTTAGTTGTTAATCTATTTTCTGCATAATTTTAAAGAATATCTAAGGCTCGATTATCATAGTATATCGACATTTTCAAATTACAACTTAATGTAAAAAGTTAGAATGTCTGTTTCTTAATTAGATGTTGATAAAGTTCAATTAGTTTGATTTTGGTTTTCGTTGTTAATAAGAAAATATTCATAATCTGTTATATAAGAAAGAGCATATAATATGCACTGTGTAAAGAAAGTCTAAGTAGGAAGATCTGTATGATTTTGATTTAAGTACTAAAGAAACAATAGTAAATTAATTGATTGAAATAATTATTATGAAAGGTTTTGAAAGAAAATTAAATGAAATATGGATAATATGCGTCATATTAAATTTACATGCAAGCAGTAAATACTTATATATATTCAGAATTATTAAATAAATAGCTTCTTTTACATTTTACATGATTTAAAGATGATTAAAATAATTAAATTGTGTAATAAAAAAGTGTTACGTAACACTTACATCACTTTTTGCAACTTCTTTAAACTCTAGAGTCTCATTCCATTCAGGATTGCAAGAGTTTTCACAAATTCTCGTTTTTAATCTTTCTCTTCTCTTTCTTTTAGGTAGTAATCTCATTCTAATGTAAGAATGGGGCATATCTTTTTCAGGCCCTTCCCTTACAGGGAAATCTTCTCCTTTCAGAGCATCTATAATTAAACTATCTTCTATTTCGCTATAATTTATTCTTATTTTTATTCTGCCAATAACATGTCGAGTTCTTTTTATAGTATCAATCTAAAAAACAACGGAGTTTATCAATCTATTATATTTTTAATGATTTTATAATTAAAAAACAAATTAAATATTATTTAATGCTGTTGAAAAGACGCTAACTGATCCTGAAGTTTGAGGTGACAAACAATTTTCGGGTTGCAAGTTTTTATGATGAGCTGTTTTCCTTTCGTCATCTAAAGAGGAAGAATTACTATTTAATAATGCTGCTTTTATTAGTAATAGAGTTAGACTATTGTGTAGAAGGATTACATAATTTTTACTAAATCATATCAAAAATTAATTACTATTTTCAAGCCATTTGGGAATGCTTTTCGAACGATATTTATTAGACGAAAGTCTATTTTTACTGCAATAGAATTTGTACAATATATTATTATCAAAGTGAAAAGTTGTGTAAATGCTCACTTGATATGACTTAAAATTAAATGAACGTTATCCCCACTAGACGAAATAGTTTCTCGAGTTTCTTCATATGTTGCATCTATTAAACTTCTTCCATTCCATTCTAAAACTTGATCACCTATGAAAGAGATTATTTTGTTAAATGTCAGCAAGTTTTGTTTCTCTTATAAATAATTCCTGTAACCTTCAACAATGCCGTATTGGCTAGCTAAGCTATTTTCTTGAACATCAACAACAAATGCCCCTAGTTTTCCATCAGAATTCATTTTACCTCCAACAACCCTCATTCCTAGACCATTTGCTGTGTGGAATACAAAGAATACTGAATAAAAGAATGTTTAAAAGTATTGTATATAGACTTCTGTAAGATGTGTCCGTAGGGTCTTTTTGTAAAACAACTTCGAATGAACAGGCTGAACATTTTCTCTCTATTTAATAGGGGAAGAATTTGTAATTTCTATACAACTATTTGCTATCTAATTAAACCTCTTGAGGCAGAACCTTCAACATTTTCTTGAATGTACTGAACCCTACTGTTTCTTCGATTATATTCAAGTTCTAAGAAAAGCAATATGTAATTATATATTTCAAAGGGAAGCTTCTTCTATTTATATAATAAACTTTACAAACCTGTATCTATTAAATCTATTGTTGGCTGCTGAATCAACATGGACGGTATAACCCATTTGGACTCTTTTTTATGCTTAATCGACCGACGTCTTTCCTCTTCAATATCTTCTAAAGTTCTACTTACTCTTCGTTGAATTGAAAACTCTTCTTTTTGTTGTACGAACTCTCTATTTTTTTCTCCTTCGTATTTGATTCTATCTTCAAAACTCTTTCTACGAACTGTTCCTGAATCATCACTGTCAACACTCTCTGTATCAGTCCTTTGAAAGAAGGAAACGTGGGGATTTAGGAAGTTCCAGTTAACAGGGGAATTCGTTTGATCTGATTGCGTTCCATCCAAACATCTTGAATCAACGTATTTATGGCCAGGCCCCTTTTCTGAGTGAATGTCAGCAGCATCAACAGAATCGTATTGTCTTAAGCCAGCCAGTTTGAGCCGTCTCATCTTTTCTTGGACAGGTCTTCTTCTTGACATTTCAGAATCGGCATTTTGACATAAACTCCTAATTCTATTATCTGATTCCATCCAAATTTCCCTCCTCCTCGATTTGTCTAAAACTGAATTATGTCTTTGTAAGAGAGATTTATTTCTAACAAGTTCATCACTTGATCTTCGTCGCTGAAATGGAGGAGGGAGTTTAGCAGACTGAACTCTTGACATTATTAGATGCTTATTGTTTGTATTATACATTTCCACTATATCCTGAGCAGTTTTAAACATTCCATTCATATGGTTATCTGTATAGATATCCTCTGCATGGGAGAAGGAAAATCTTCCTTTTCTCTCCCGAATGGAGGTTCTATTAGAATCTGAGTCAAAGAAACCTTCTTGTTCCGATACATTCTTTGTTCTTTGCCTCGCTGCTGATTCTCCAAGAGAAATAGCATCCTGAGGACTATTAAAAAAGTGAACCAGTTAAAGTTATAAAGTGGGATAGCGTTTGTAAATAAATAATCCGTTGTCAGCATAACCTGGTTAAGTACTTTCTGTTAATACACGGTGTCAAATAAAATAAATTATACAGCTAAGTATTGAAAGAGAAATCATTTGTTTTGAAAAATCAAAAGAAAAAAACCTGTTCAATTGAAAAGTTCTTAATGGATATTTTCTATGAAAATAGTAAAATATATATAGATATGGTTAGTATAATAATACACGTAGTGGTCGATTATTAAAGTAAAAGCCTTAAGAAAATTAAGCAATCACATCCCATATGACTCTACTGGAGAATATCAACTTTACAAGGTCATTAGAGAAAATGATCGTTTCATATTGCTCTTGTTTTATCTCAATATTTATTTTAGGAAGATTAACAGTAATAGTCTGTATGACGTTTTATCCTATTTTCATAGGTTTAATCAGTTAGATTACTATTTGAGTATATCTAGCTATACCTTTAATTAGCGAGTGTCACTAGTAAGATATTTACTAGGTTTCATGTCTATAAAAGATTTTATTTTAAGTTGCAGAAAATTTCTCTTATTCTACATTAGTTGTTGAGTAATTCAAAGCTACCTTATTCGTATGACAACATGCTCAAAAACAAAACTCGTTTCCTAATGGATAATAAAGATAGCAAACTCTTCTTCAATATATTTTCAAAACAGTTGCTATAATTTGAATAGAGTAATGAAAGAAATATATTATATGTGAAAAGCAGAGAAGTTAGAGGAAGGAAAAACAGAAGAAGAATGAATAGAAGATGTAGAAGGAATAGACTGTTTAATTTCCTAATTTTGGAACCTTTGTATTCGTTTATCATACATATTATAGTTTACTATTACACAAATATGTTACAATATATATACTGTATATATATATATATATATACATGTATATATATTCATATATGTATCAATGTACTTTTTAATCTTGCTTACTCAAGTGATATTCCTATGTGATTGTTGATAGTTTTTTGTTATAATGTATTTAAATTTATAAATTCTCTTTTTTTTAAGCAATAAATATATTGCATAAGAGAAAAAAATTCTGTTTTGTTCTAAGAATTACGGACATGTTACCTCTTTAATGTACTAACTGGAGGTAATTGAAGAGGAAGCGTCAGATGAAATATTCAATGGTAACGTTTACAGGTTTTTATCGAATATTCAACGTTTTAGCTACAGCATTTCTTTTTAATACGAGAAACCGAATTAACTTCCTACTCTATTTGCTTATTCAAATACGTTTCTAATGAATTTCTCTTTAAAAGGAGTTGCCACTATAGAAAACATTTTAATATAGCTAATTAACTGTAAAGTTATTAGGATATTTTAAAAAAATTAATGAGTTTCTAGAGGTTTGATGCAGTTAATTTGTTAATATATGGATATAATATTAAATATACAAACTTTCTACTTCTACTCTTTCTCCTCTCTCTTGGATGCTCATCGACTTCGTCAGAAAAAGAATGCCCTTTCTTTAGTTGCCTAGCAACACTTTCCTCATCTGCATGCCATGCTGTATCGCTGTGTAATCGACGTCGGTGTTTAGCAGTCTTCTTTTCGTCAACAGGCTCACTGGGAACGCTATGAGATCTTGAAAATGGTCTTCCAACTGAATTTGCAGATAATCCACTCTCTGTAACCATCTTTAAGTGACGTTTTTGCTCGCATAATTTACAACGCCACAATTCTAAGCGTTTCTGTATAAGTTCATATGGCGTAATTCATATTTTTAATTAAATTTTTTTGCCATATTACGAACCTTTCCTTTAACTTTATGGAAAATTACAGCACATGGACGGCAAACTATTTTGCCACAATTTTCACATTTGATTGCGTCACTTTTCCTCTTCTTCGAGCAAAGTCGGCATCTTTGATCTTTTTCTCTAGCTTTTTCTTTACTTTCAAAATGCTCGGCTTCAGTTTCTAAACGCCTAAAACAATATGCAATATGGCAATGAAACAATTAAAAAAATTTGACAATCTCGTGTATAACGTTTGGCTAAATGATAGTAGAAAATGGTAGATTCGATTAATAATAGAATATGTATACTACGTATAAACAAATATACTATAGGAGTAATGCCTAAATGATGAATTATGAATTTTCTTTGTATATTAATAAACAGTTTAGTATATATTGTACACTTTAAATATCATATATAAACTTATACTGTATTTTTGCAGTATACATTAAACTGCACTTAGTACAATCTATTCCTCAATATAATTTAGTATACTAAAGTATTCTTTTAAAAAATGACTAGTGGTAAAAAGGATTGGATGAAAGCGAATACACACAAAAAAAAACGTTAAAATTGACTGAGTTTACTAATCATTTTATTAGCAATATAGGTAATTTAAGGCTATAAAAATAACAGTAATAAGGAAAACAGATACTTCAGAAATCATAATTTAAACTCTAATCAAAATAGATTTCGTTTAAAACCATATCTAACTTTTCATGTCCTATTTTTAGTTGTTTTCCTTGTCAATTACACTAACAGCAAGTTATTTTTTAAGAATAACGCTCTAGAACAAAGGGATTTTTATTCGAGAAAACTATACGTGACATAGACAAAGTCAACAGAGAGAGAAAATGGTATTTTATAGCTACCTCTTGTTAACGTGTGGCCATTATAATTACATCCACTTTTTTCCCTACGCTATATAGTTCCTATAAAGACTAGACACGAAATCCCTATTTAATTCTACTTATTTTTCTTTATTTTGAAATTTTTTCAGGCTAGATTTAATAATATTAATTCGAAACTTTATACAATTTTGTTCTTTTTCTTTTTTTTTTAATTTATATTTAGCGTTTTCTCTCCTCATTTTACGTTATATTTTCTATCTAAATAATAATACATATATTACTTTTCAGCTTCAATTCCTTCTATATAAGCAATTCTGATTCAAAGGCGGAAGTGACGCCTTTTTGAATTACTTTACGCTCTTACGGTTATGTTTTAAAAAGGGATAAATAATAAAAACATTTAGCGTTTCTTCCTCTTTACATATACATTCTGTATTCTGATCCGTTGATTTAATATTAATCTATCCGGTGTTTTTGTCCTTTTGTATTTTTTTCTTTATTATTAAATTATACTATTTTTCACCAATAAGTTACAATTGGGAGAGAAAATTACTTTTTTCTTCAATTATGCTTAGTAAGGCGGAAAAACTATTTTTTTCTAAATAGACTTTGAAGGCTAGATTTATATTTCATAAAGATAGACACAAACACATAAATAAACTGTTTTCGTTTTGTTGTCTATTTATCTGAAACTTTCCGGTGTTACTTATATAAAAAAGGAAAAAAAAGGAGAATAGACATTCTATTTTTATCAGATATATGAAATACATTAGATAAATATAAGTCTTGTTTACTTGTCCATCTACAAATGAGAAATGCAATATTTCCCCCGTTTTATGCTAAAAAGAAAATATCTTTATGAAGGCGTCTAATATTGTTGTGTTATCTTCTTATTAAAACTATGCATTTACTACTAACAATTAAAACTTTATATAAACAGTATAGTAAAGATATATTTATATAGTAAATACTATAGTACGTACTACGCATTAATGTCAATTAGAATTAATATTCTGACTTTTTCGTGACTAGCAAAGAGGAACAGTTGGAAGAGAGTAGTAAATTTACTCTCAAGGTCTTTTGTTTAACAAGCTGTAAGTCTTCAAACATGATAGGGTTGAGTTGGTGGCTTTAAAAATATCATAGTAATTATGCGTACCCTGTCCTTAAGGAGAAGGGTAAAAAATAATAATAACTATAAAAAAGAGTAGAATTGCTTTTCTTTTCATTTTGTTCGCAGTATTAGAAAATTTAAGGTTTTTAAAGAGAATGACGCCCATTATACGTTTGGCGTTTATTGAAATATAGTTTCACTTGAATATCACATCAGTGTATTTATAAAAGTAGTGAATGGATAGAAAGGAAAAAAAACATCAGCAAAAATTATTCGTTCATCGTGTAATTATCTAAAAGTCCATGTGTACCTAACAATACATGCAAGGCATGTATTGAGAATATATAGTCGTTATGTCTAATAAAAATCATTGTTTCGTAGAATATAAAAACTAAGAAAGAGAAGAAGATAAAGAGGAAGAAGAAGAAGAAGAAAAAAGAGGGATATACATAATATATTAACATGCTTCATATATGTACAGTAGATATATATTAAATATTTTACATGTAGTGATCGATAATTGTGATTATCTTTGTTTTTTATTATATTAAAATTAGTGAGTTAAAAGGCACTCTATATATTAATAAGGAAAATTTAATTCTGGATGCTTGTCCCCAATCCTTTTTTTTATTCACTCTATTTCTGTATCCGAAAATGGTGACAGACCGTTTTTCGTAGTACAATGAGGAAGAAAATGTATTAGACAAGGGGATTGCGCATACATCAAACCTTCTTAATCTCTGTCATTCTCACTTTTCAGTACACATATAGGAAATTTTGTTAATTTTCTTTATCGTTGCACATATCTTATCATTAATTTGACCTACTGTTTTTAAGTTTTAATAAGTTTGTTTTCCCTCATTCTCATATACAATACACTGTATTTTACCTCTTCATCTCGTATACACCACAATCAATTTTTACAGTTTTAACCTGAGAAGTGTTAATATGAAACAAAAGTGTACTGATATACTTAGATTATGTACTAAAACACTATGTATCCTATACATTTATGCTATATGATATTTTTTATAGTTAATATATAAAAAATACATACGCTAATCGTTCACATTCTTGTCTCTTAAACTCTTCTTCTTTTTCTAGTACCCTGAGGAGAATTGCTCTTTCTCTGTCTGTTAGGTGAGATAAATCCGTCTTCTCCTCTTTCGGAGTTCCCATTAAATTTTTCGTTTTCTTCTTGTCTTCGTTGTGTTTCGCAGCTGAGTTTGGCCAGAGCTAAATAAGTCATTTGTTATTATTTTTCGCTAATAAATTATCTTTAGCGGAAATTTTAATATAAGAACATAATATATAATAAAAAAGAGGTTATAAGGCTGGAAGGAGGAAAAACAAGAACATAAAGAAACGAAAAAGAAAAAGAACAGAGAAAGAGAGAGAGAGAGATGTATAAAAAAAATAAACAGTTAGAGTGATATAGTGTCTATGCGGTAGCTCTAATGAATAATTCAAGAAACTTTAACTTTTATGCTTAAAACTGGTTTTAATAGACAGTTTATTTAAATATAGAATAAAATATTTAAATATGCATTATAGATTATTGATAATATTAAAATTTCTTTCCTAATAACAGCTGTTGAAAATTGCGTTATAGATTATCTTTTTGTTTGTATCATTTTCTTTATGTTTTTAGGTCATTAGTACTTAATTCTCACCTTTTCAATCACTATTTCCTATATATTTCTTTTCTTCCTTCTCCCTTCTATCCTTTTTACTATTTTCCTTTTCCTACTAAGCTTTTTTTCTGCTTTTCTTTCGCTTTGATACAGTTATATACGAAGTAATTACTGATAATAAAGGACTAATACTTTACTTACTGAAAATGCAGCTAGTAGTACTCGATGACTCTAAAAAACACTACACCTATTTCGGAACGAACAAATAGGCAGGCACCAGAATAAAAATATTCTTATAATTTCCTTTTTTTTCTTTATAGCTCTCTTATGAGAATTGTTTTAAAGACTATAAATAACATGATCATTACAGTAGGTCTTTTAAAACAAAATGAATATAATAACACAAATTTCTTAAGAATTTATTAATAGTTTATATATTTTCTGAATAATCCTTAAAAAAAGTGATAATTACTTTATGACGCCAAGTATTCTACACCTTTGCGTATACCTTTTATAGAAAAGAATATAGTTCTTTTTTACTTCCTTAGTCTTCAATTTATAAAGGAGATCCTTCACTTCGCGGATACGTAAAATATTGAATTTTATGATAGGAATATAAACGTAAGTTTATACTGATATATATATATATAAATAAATATTATCTGTATATATGAAGTATTTCGCAAATACATATCTGTCTATCTCGTATGTGCAGCTAATTATCTTAAATGTTAATCAAGTAAAGAGAGAGAGTAAGAGAAAAAGAATACGGAGAAGCAGAAAGAAAGGGTGCACTGATCAAGTGCAGGGTTAATGACCTTCAGTAGTGTACGAAAAGAAACGAAAGTAGTGCTGTAGTTGATATTTTCTCAGAATAATACTTTTACAATTCAATCTTATTAATTAATGCTATATAAACTTGAAAGAGTAGTCTCATAAGCAGCTTGAGATTAGTTTAATTATACATCTCGATATAAAGTTAAAACTGTCATAGTTTTATAGAAAATTCCTATTAGATCTTGTGAAAATATTTATCTTTCTACACTAAAAGAGAATAGCATATGAAATATTCATTGAGAATAGAAAAACAATATACAATATACATTATTTGTCTATAAAATTTTATAAACTAACCTTTTTAAACAAACTTGCCATCCAAAATCGCCATTTCTACTAATTTTTTCTTCAACTGTAAAAATATAAATAAACGCCTAATGAGACTACAAAATGTCAACAGACGCCTCACCAAAAGACGCACATATAAGTCAGTAAAAATCGCAGGTGATGACGTCATAAGGAAATTGTACCGATGTATATGAAAGTGCCGGTATATACTGTACGTGTGAGAGAGTATGTACAATGTATATGTCTATAGGAATATACTTCACTATATATTTCTTGTTAAGTTTATGGTAGTCTTAATTTACATTCAATAAATATGTCTCGTTCGCTGTATAGTTATAATTTAGTGTGTGTATTAAATAAGATATTCAATATATATTCTGTATATTATATATATATATATATATATATATAATGTATATTAAAAAAAGTGTGCACATAAAACTTACACAGTCAAGCTTAAATGTAAATCTAAAGTAAATGAGTTGTATAAGAAATTATTTAATACAAAAAAGAAGGCCAAAAACTGCAAAATAATTTTTTAACTTAAATAAAACTTGATTTCTTTTTCAGCTTTGTAACAATAATAGAAAAAAGACAATTTTACATCAGTAACACGACAAGATCATGATATTTCTGTCAGTAATAAAAAGCTAAGTACAAATCGATTTTCCTAAAATAATGTATAAACTAATGTTATATATTTTATGTTTAATAGCAAAAAAAATT